ACACACACACACACACACTTACACACACACACATACACACACACACAAACAGCAACCTGTAATGAAGACACATTCAACTCAACTGGGGTGTGTATGGAAGAGAAAATATATGAGGGTAACGAGAGAGGGAGAGAGAGAGAGAGAGAGAGAGAGGGAGAGAGAGAGAGAGAGAGGGAGAGAGAGAGAGAGAGAGAGAAGCCTAGACAAATAGAAAAAAGAAGAAAAGAGATAAAGGGATTGAAATAGAGAAACTGAGGTACAAAAGATGTATGGATGATATGTTTATTGAAGAAGAAAATGAATAACCGGGAGATAAATTGAAAGGGAGAGGAGAGAAAGAGGAATGGAGATGATAACAACATTAAGAAGAGAGAAAATAGTTGATTTATGTGATTTTCTTGAAATAGACAAAGTTATGATATGATATATCTATGTATGTATGTGTGTGTGTGTGTATGTATGTTTGTATGTGTGTATGTATGTGTATGTATGTATGTATGCTTTGCAAACATTGAAATGTTAGCAATGCCTATGATGGTTATTCTTAACAACAATAATGCACTGTTGGATTGAAACGTTCATTTCAATCATGTGATGTCTAGGATTCAAAAAAGCAACACAACGAATGCTTAAATGTGCATTAGGAAGAGTTGATCCTGGAATGAAATTGAGTGAGTGAGTGAGTGAGTGAGTGAGTGAGTGAGTGAGTGAGTGAGTGAGTGAGTGAGTGAGTGAGGGAGTGAGTGGTAACGATAATAATGATGATATCGTCAAAACAGTAAAAATAATCCACAATAATGAAGATGATAATGAAAAAATTATGATGGTGATGATGATGATGATATCATGATGACGACGATCAAAAAATGACAATTGATGATGGTGATGATGATGATTGGCATCAAAGATACAAAGTTTATGAGTTTTAAAAGAAATGTTTGAAGCATGTGAAATAAATAAATGAATGAGCAGAAAAACAACAACAACATCAACACTTCAACGACATCAACACATCAACAACAACATCAATAACCACAACAACAACAACACAACAATCTCAATCAACAACAACATCAACAACACAACAACATCAACAACCACAACAACATCAACAATAACAATCATACTATTACCATCCCAATCCATCATTCATTACAAACAATGAAAATAATAATAATAATTATAATTATAATTATAAAAAAAATATTAAACAAAATAGTAAAAATAAGCGATGAAAAATATATTTTAAAAATTTAAAATTAAGCAGAAGAGGAAGAGATGAAGACCAACATTGATGAGGCACTCAGTAACGTCCAGAGCAGTTTGTTTGTTGATATTCAGTTTGGTGACCAAGTCGCTGATGTGGTTGCTGCTGCTGCTGCTACTGTTGCTCTTGGTGATCAGTTTGCATACTTCTTTCGCTGACAATGAGCTCTCAACTTTACTGGAAGAGTTGCTATTAATACTAGTGTTACTGAGCGATTTTGCAGTATCTTTTGTTAGGTTTTTGCTTTTGCTGGAGATGTGGGCATTTGTTACAAGAGGACTTGAAGTGGCCGACGAGGTGGTCGGTGTGGTCAGGTTGTGGTTGACCGATTGTGGCTTGCGAGCCGTTGCGGTGGCTGTTTGTGGCTTGGTGGTAACCGAGTTCTTTGTTGCCGCTAGAGATGTTGATGGCAAGGAGGTTGCAGTGTTTGGGTTGTTGTTGTTGCTGCTGCTGCTGGTGGTTGCGCTCATCTGAGATCTGCTACGAGAAGATTTGGCTTGAGAATCAGTAATACTTGTTTTCGATGAGCTTGACGAAGATGATAGTTGTGATGATGATTTAGATTCAAATGTTTGAACGGAAGCCAGCGTGGAAGAAGCCGTGGTCGGCTTCAGCGAAGCTGTCGCGTTGGTGGCTGTCGCCGCCGATGCCTGACTGTAGTTCATAACCTCGAACAAATTATAATTCTTATCGTAGATTGATCTGTGACTTGAGGTTTGTTGTGGCTGTTGTTGTGGTGGTGGTTGTGGATGTTGCTGTTGACGTTGTTGTTGTGGATGTTGCGAGTCTGTCTCAGCCCCCTTGACCTGGTTGACCTTGGAGAGGATGGTTCGACTCGCGTCATCGAGGAGGTCGACCCACACCGTGTCCTGGAACCTCCCAAACTTTGCATCCAGTCTGTCCTTTAGTTCGTTGTTCGCGTTTGTCTGCGGTGGTGGTGGTAGTGATTGTTAATCATGATGGTGGTGATGATGATGATTGTGATGGTGGCAGTAGTGATGATGTTAACTAACTGTGGTGCTAGATGAGGAATTAAACAAATTAAAGAAAAATTGTAAAATAGACATCAGAGAGAGCAATTTGAGACCCAACCAATGCAGCTTACCTCAGTGATGAAATAAAATAAATAAATAAATTGAACATTTTTATAACTCAATAATTATGGAAATATATTGGATGGATTTGAAAAAATCATGAAGTCATCATCATCAACATCAACAACATCATCAACAACAACAACACCCCACTCACACACACACACACACACACACACACACACACACACACACACACGTATAAAAAAAACAAATACAAAGAGAGACAGAAAGAGGATGAAAAAGGAGGAAAATCCCCGAATGAAAAAAAAAATCCAAACAAGCAAAGAGTGGAATTACAAATGTTCTAAAAATAGCAGCCAATGAGCGTGCAGCATTCAAACACATGTTCGCTAGCTGCTCATTCAACTAATGTTTACCCCAGCTTATATTTTTATTAGCACAGCGCAGTAATGCTTGCATGCGATACTTGTGTGTATATATTTATATAGGTATATATATATACACGTATACAGATATAAATAAACATGTATACATACATACATGTATACATACATGTATACATACATGTATACATACATACATACATACATGTATACATACATAAATCATACATACATACATACATACATGTATACATACATAAATCATACATACATACATACATACATGTATACATACATAAATCATACATACATACATACATACATGTATACATACATACATCATACATACATACATATATCTGTTGAAATTACTGAAAGTAAAACAGTAAAATTTCTGGGTGTATTTCTAGATCAGAAATTGAGTTTCAAGTCCCATGTTAATTACATATCAAACAAATTGGCAAGATCAATTGGAATAATCAGCAGGGTCAGAATTTTCCTCCCAAAACGATGTTTAAACGTGCTCTACAATGCCATATGTTTGCCTAACGTGACGTACTGCAATGTAGTTTGGGCCGGTGCATACCAATCAACCACCCATCCTATCATGATACTGATGAAAAGGGCAATCAGGATTATCACGTTGTCAAAAAAACAAGCCCACACTCATCAACTATTCACAACAACTAACAATTTAGATTTCAATAAATTGAACTTGTACTGCATACATACATACATACATACATACATACATACATACATACATACATACATACATACATACATACATACACACACACAACGTTTGTATAATGCTGATGACATAAAGATATGGAGATGTATGAAAATATACAGCCCAATGCAAACATGGAAAGTTGCAAGCCTGAATGAAGGTACTCCCAGCACAGCAGAGCAGAGTACAGCACATGCTGGCTTATTGAACATGTCCACACACACGAACAAGCAACATCAGCATCACCACAAATGCAGATGCAACAGAAGTAGGAGGGGGAGGGGGGTCACCAAGGAAAGATAAAAGTTTCTTCATAGATGAAAGTTGGGACGTCAGAACAGGCAAGCACACACTTAGCATCAACCAGAACACAGAGACGAACGAGCAAAAGCAAAAGCTGAGGACCAGCCTACGGAGGACTTGTGCTCTTCCCAGCAACATTTCATAAGCAAGATACCTTCTCTCTTAACATCAGATTGTACCCACTCAAAGTTCGATGGAGGGAAGCATTTTGTTCAGTTAGATTCAAAAAGATCAAGACCAACGTATTATGGTTTCTATGGTTTCTATTGAGGAGATGTAACAAAATTTTGAAAAGTGAAAGAAAAACCAAACACCAACCTTGATCAGTCCTCCAAAAAGCGACCCACCACTACGGCCCGCACCACCTCCAACAGCACCACTACCCTTGGATGAAGAACCACCACCACCACCATTTGTAGCACCAGCACCACCAACATCTGCAACGACAGAATTCCTCAGAGCTCTCTTTAGCTGGTCATCACTCGTCTGCGTCCTGTCGACGTTCACCGTCATGGCTATCTTCCTCCTCTTCTCAGCTGCCCGCTGTCTCTCCACATCGTGCTGCTGCTGTTGTTGTTGCTGCTGCTGCTGATGTCGCGGCGGTTGGTAGGGGTGGCTGTTGGCAGTCGATGTGTTGCTGCTGTACGATGGGTAGGTTTGATTGAGGATATTTTTGGTGCTCACGTTCTTGCTGCTGCTGCTGTTCGAGAGAGAGGGAGGGGGAGGTGCCATGCTGTTGTTGCCGCTGGCCTTCCTCGAGTCGTAGCCTGAGTACTTGTGGCCGCTGCTACTACTGCTGCTGTTGTTGTTGCTGCTGCTGCTATTGCTCTGTCGGCTGTAACTGCAAATGTTCATTTGGGTTTCATTAATTTTTATATGAATGATAACTAAAAGAATAATAATATTAATAATAAAAGCACATAATAAAAATAATAATAATAATAATAATAAATAATAATAATAATAATAGGAACAATCTTTTATTCAGCAATAAAATCAATAAAAATGGCGGTACAAATAAAATAAAATAAAATGTCAAATGTAATAAATAAATATTAATCTGATAATAATAATAATAATATTAATAATAATAATAATAATAATAAGATGGCAGGCAAAAATCTCCTTCGCATTCGAAGCTGGTCACCGAAGCACCTATTCAGGAAAATAAGAAATATAAGTTATACCAGAAAGGCAAGCAGCTTCACAACCAGTAAAGCGAGGCAATGGATTGCAACTAACCAGCAATAGCTAACAAAAACTAAAAATTGTCAGCGACAAATCCATAATATTATTTATATTTAATTAATTAATTAATTAATTAATATACTAAAATTACAATCAATAATTAACCAACGGAAATTATTATGAAATATAATTGAAAAAGAATTTCATCATGGCCGATTAATTAAAATTTAATTAAATATAAAACATCAGACTCTGACCCAACGTATTTCTAACCATCAGACCAATCCAACCTGATCAGTTAAAGCAATTTACCTACCGATTCTATTATGATCTTTGCTGTTATATTATAAGCGTTATTATTATATTTATTTATTATTATTATTATTATTACTATTATTATTATTATTATTAACCGTAGTAGTAGTAGTAGTAGTAGTAGTAGCGGTAGAAAATAATTTATACCCTTTAAAGTAACAATAAACAAAAAACAAAGACTCTAAAATAGACAAATATCAAAAAGAGCATAGATAGTAAAACGTACTCAACCATTAAAAGATATTGAGTAATCTCAACTAAAATTATGCGCTACAAACAGCAGACGAATGTGTGGGCATGTAGACCACAAAGACATCAAATCAAACACCAGTGTTCCCGCTATATACTATATACATTATA